AAATTCCGAAGCGGGAAGTGTTTATTAGAGATACATTCAGCGTTTATTCAATACCGCTGGCATACTACGTGAATATCGTATGCTATTGTTGAGAGAATCGGACGCGTGTTTACGGAAAAAATTTTTTCTTGTTTTGGGTCAAGGAATCCGCTGAAACTTTTCGCGATGAATACATAACAGTTGTTTACAAGCGAGACGAGTATCGCTCGCGCGTTTGCGACGATATTGAGTTGAGGCTCGTACGGTGTAACGCAACGTAATTTTCTGTACGATTTAGCTTTGAAATAGAATCGAAGAAAATCAGAAATTAATGTCAGAGGGTCGAAACGTCTTTACTCGAGCTCCCTATTGACGTCCGTGGAATGTCAGGCATCCGCTGATTGAATTCGAGGAAAGGGCCTTCCACGGGTTGCGCATGGTTTGATAAATGTCCGTCTCTCGCGATATGCCGGATAATATCTGTAAGGACCTGACGGAGAACACAGAGGATAGGACGCCCGGCCCTTTTTGCCGGCGACGGCATCGTTTGTAATTCGAGTCCACCGCCCTTCGCGCGAAGAAACCGGAGTTTCGACGCTTGTACTACGTCAACGGGGAATCTCCCAAAATAATTTATGGTCTCGCCGCACTCTCGAATTAAGTCTCCCATTTTTTCTCCTTCGCCCTTACGTTTGTTTGAATTAGTTCGCGTTCTCGCTAAATGGACGCGCGCGAGCTCCAAGTTCTTTGACTCGCGTTTGAATAATTCAACGGAGTTCGGGCTTCGATATGTTCGATTGTAATTTGCACGATTTATGGTCTCGCACTCTCAAATTGAGTCTCCTATTTTTCTACTCCCTGCCCTTACGTCAGTTCGAATTAGATTCTCGCTAAATCTGCGCGCGTCGCGAGCTCGAAATTCCTCCTCTGATTCGTAAGAGAGTAACTTGACGGAGATCAGGCCGTTTGTAATTTGCACGATTCTTAACGCAACCCTTCAGAAAACACTGTGTTGCAATGCAACGGGAACAAGTCCTTTCAAGATCGCGTTGCGTCTACAACGAGGACACTCGTTACGAGAGAGCCGCGAAACCCCTTTCGCCTCGAATGTCACGGTCCTAAGGGTGGAATTTTCACTCCCGCACTCGCAGAAGCGCGCACTCCGGATCACGTTACGGCCCTTCTCGCAGATCCAGGTCGTTTATTATTTCGACTCGGTCGAAATATCCACGAGGAGGCGGCGGCCCCCCCCGAGACGTACGCCGAGAAAACGTTTCGCCTTCCTACGGAATTAACTTTGTTAACAAACGGCTACGAAGTCTCGCGTCTCGAATGTAATCAGTTTGTGCGCCGTTTAATCCGGCCAACTGTTTAATTCCGACGCGAATTATTTCAACGCGCCTCCTGAGAATTTATCGTATGCAAAGTAGGCTGAAATTTTTTGACGGTGATTAAAATTTTCATTTCAATCAGCATCCCTAAAATATTTTCGTCTCGTTCGCCAGGTAGTTATGAATGTAATAGTGTGTCGATCGGTATTACGACGTTCGGGCTCCCCGTTACTCGATAACGGGATAAACGCGCGGATAATTGGGGATTCGCGATTTAGGGTAAAAAAAAAATGTTTACACGCCGCGACATGCGACGACGCGTCGTGATAAAAATTCATTGGCGTATGTGAATGCTGGAACGCCGATGGCACGTGCATCGTTTATTAAAAAAGCTGTTGGACGGCCGCCCCGGATCGAAGAGCGCGGGGACATACCTTCGCCATTTTATAGAGGCCCTTTGTCGTGCCGAAATTACAATTGCTATCGTCATTATCGGATGCGTTATGCGCACGATGCGTTTGGTGGACGTGGAAATCCCTCCCCATTGTTTGTCGCGCGTCCCGTTTTGATCGAAAACGTCAAAGCGGCCGAAAAAACATACGTCTCCCCGGAATGCCGATCGGAAAAATATGACCAGGAGGCTGGATCCCAGGGGGTGGGGGTGGCGGGGGAGGACGCATTATCGGATTGCTCCGCGCATTGCTGCGTTAGATTCGCGAGACGGTGAGCAATTTCCGCCACGAGGATCCCGCGGTCCGTTTTCGCGAAATGATCTAGAATCCTCCGGTGGCCTCGCGCCCCCCCCCCCTCTTTCTCTCTCTTTCTCTCTCGGCCTTCGGAAACCTCGCCGACTCTTAATGAACTCCTGCTGTTCGCGGCGGCCGTTTCTGAACGGTCGAATAGAGAATCCCCGCAGAGTCCATCATTACCGACTCAAAATTAAAGCTAAAGATACAGAAGGGCGCGCGCCTTCGTTTTCGGAGCGCGGCTTATTAGTTTCGCGGCACGCAAAAGCGTGGGCGAGACTCGCAAGGGTGCCCGGCCGCGATTATTTATCAAACGAATTAATAATCGCGACGACGCGCACAACCGAATTTAATATAAACGTTCAGCTGCCCCCCCCCCCTCCCGGCTAACGAGGCTGTAATTTCGACCGGTGAATACGGCGCCTCGTTATTCCTCGTGGAGGAAACGGCTCCTCTCCGCGTACGAGGCAACCCAGCGCCCGGCTGAGGTTGGGCCCCACGATCACTAATTATTCGCGTATCGTGGAGATCCGTGAGCGTAGGAGCCGTATTACGCGCGCATAATGAAACCCGTATTAACGTATTCGCGCACGCGAATACACGCGGATACGCACGGCGCGGACGCCGCGGCGCCGTAACCGTAGACGTGTAGACACGGAGAGCGCCGCGACGTCGAACGTAATATTCGACTAATTACAAATTTAATAACCTCGGTTCGTTGCCGGTTATTGCGAGGCCGCGACGTCTAAATGAATCGACTCCGCGCGCGCTCCGTCTCCTCCTCCTCCCCCCCCCCCCCCCTTCCCATTCGCTCCCGCGCGCCTTTTTCCGGACGTCCTCCACCCCCATTTTGCCATTTCGCTTCTGCAGATTATCGACGATCTCGTCGTCGGCAGGGAGCAGAGATCATACGACAGAAACAGGACCAAGTTCACCGTCGGTTACCTCTGTGTCTTAATGGACTCGTATTACCAATTAAAATTTAATTATCATCGAAATTAATTCATTACAATATTCGAAACGCGGGCAACGGCGCTGTCTTGTCGAGCCGTTATTGCATTCGACGGGGGCAGCTCCCCATCTCCTTCTCTCCCTTTTCTGTTACTTTTATATTACGGTTAGATTTTCGTAATATCTGCGTTGGCCATTTCGATCATAAAGACGAAATTTCTCTTTCCTCGTCTCTTTCTAGTCGGGGAATCTTTACAGTTTGCGGCCTGCGAGGTGCGCACATAAAGGCTCTCTCCGTTTCCCTTAACACTGCCGTAACTTATCGCTCGTAGACACAGTATTTCTCTCTGGCTCTTTGAAAGCATTTTCTCATTAAAAAATTAAGGGTAGGGAGGGGGCGGGAGGCGAGCGGGGGGTGAAAAGGAGCGAAGCGGTTGCAGAGGGACGAGTGGGAGTGGATGGTGAGGGTGAGGGGGAACCGAGTTCGCGGTGCAGAAACGAAGCGTGGGTCTGAGACAGGAGGGTTTTGTGGCGGCGAGCAGGGGAACCAGGGGTGGACGGAGGGGTCGGTAAGTGCTCTGCGGCTCCCAGATGCGCCCAATATTATGTTTAATGATATTAACTTCTTACTTAATGGTCCGCGGTTCGATTCGAGGTGCGAAAGAGTCGCCCCCTCTCCCTCTCCCGAACCGCAGCTCTGAACCAAAGCTGGAAAAAGTATACCTCGGGGAATAATTTGGCGAGTTGCGAGTACGAGAGGAGCGAAAAAATGGAAGGTGCAAGAGGGAGGGAGAGAGATAGGAGGGAGGGGAGTGAGAAGACTGCGGAGAAAATGAGAAAAGAGAAACGGATACAGAGTGCGGTGAAAGAATCTAATCACTTGGGGAACACATCCATTTGCCTCTTCTCCTCTCCCTCTTTCTCTCTCGAGTTCTTGCAAAATAAATCCACGACTATGATGACCTCCGCCATAAACCTCGTGATAAAAGCCACGGCATTGGTGGGCGCCGTTCCCCTTTTTCTGCGGCAATACTGCCGAGGGCCTCTCTCGCCCTCAACTCTTTACGCGCGATTAAAGAATCTGTCCCTTGGCCAAAGTGCTTGTACTACGAAACTTTGTCGCTCGAAAATTATTTTCTCTCTGCTGCGAAATAATATTATCTCGAAGAAGCAATGATCTTATTAACGAAGTTGCTCCTTCGCGGTGGTGTAAGTAATTCTTAACCGTTTTATCAACCGCGATTTGTGATGAATCGGCCAGCAGAGATCAATTACGCCCTTCGCGGTCGAGGGAGCACAGTTAAAATGTAATTTTGTACGAAGCTTTTATCTTTCTCGGTTTCCTCTACGACGGAAACCGCCCAATTCCACTCGTTTCTTCATGCGAACCGCAACGTCGAGACAAAAATCTTAACGATTCTGGATGAGCCACGATCGAACCCGAGGGCACGAGTGCCAAACAATTTAAAGCTGAGATTAAAAGTTTCTTCTGGCGCGGGGAGGCGCGGAAAACCGCGGTGCCGCATTAACGAGTGGCGACCTCGTAAACTGGGACGCCCGAGGAAAAATCGAAAAAAAGGAACATAGAAAAAGAAGCGCAGAATCTTACCTTCCTTTTTGGACGTGTACTTATTCGCCCGTTCGCGAGCTTGTCCACTCTAAGAATATCTCCGAATGCATTTGATTAATTTAGCAATAGCGACGTAAAGCGTGATTCTTCTTCGCGACGTCTTCGTGGTCGGTTAAATAAATGCGAGATACGTGTCGCGCGGCGGACAAGGCGATTAAGGACGATAATGCGCGGTGTACAGTGATACGACCGTCGCGGTGTGAGACCGGTACTTATCTTCCTACGCGGATCCCTTGCCCAGCGACTAGAATAATTATTTAATTAATACCCTACGTAGCGGCGGAGTCCACCTCCGCGCTCGGTCGATTTAAATCCCCCAGATTAATACGAAACCTTTCTTTTCTCTCTCCTTCTTTGTTGCAGGCTCCGCGAGGAGAGGGGCGACGCCGAGAGAGCGCTGGCTTTGGACCACAAACCCAGGGACCTCAGCTCGCACAATGGTAAGACTATACAAGCAAATAGCTCGATATTTTGAATTTTACACAGACTTGCCCGGCGTCCTTCCATAAGGAACGCGTTTATTTGGCGTTAAATTTACGTTTTGAATAAAAATACTTTTCATGGCGTTGACATTACATGGTGCATTCTAAAGGGTCACTTTATTTCCAAGACACAATTTTTTTCAATCATATGCGTTTTCGTGAATTTATGTCTGCGAAAAATTCTCAAAATAAAATAACTTCGTACATATTCAGGCATAATTACACATATTATAATCTAAAAGAATACACAATAGATTATACATAAAGACTGCCGTGCTTCGCTTTGATTGTCCTCGATTAAACGGTCAATTCAATGATTCGCAATTAAACTTGCCACGTATACAGGGTGTTAAGATAAAACAAGATAAATAAGATAAAATAAGATAGATAACAAGATAAAGTAATGCCCACTGCCAAATTAGTAGGCATTGGTGTACAAGATTTTGGTCAGCGGTTTCCCCGTCGCACGTAACCGTTGCCGTGTGTCGTAAAACAACTTCCCGCGCGCCTAGAAATGCCAATCGCGGGACAGCCGCATCTCGCCGCGCGCTTGAGTTGGGCCGTAGGCCGGGCTGAGACAGCGATTTTTAATAGCTAATAACTCGTTAACCGCTGCGAAAATTGCAAAATGGTACAGGACTTTTCAACTGGTCTAATCCGCAAATAAGCACTCTGGGAAAAAAAAGTCAGTTAC